TGCGTGGATCAACTTCCGTCACCTAATACGATAGACCTCAAAGGGTACCCAACACCACAGGCCACTTCCAGTCGTCCTTCGAGAGGCAATTATATAATGAATCCATTTTTGACTGTCCTATTCATTTTATTTCCCTCATTTGCGAATGCGATAATGGAACAAACATGCCCAACGGAAGACATATCACCCTGCACGTGCACTAAAGATTCGGATGGCGATGTGACTGTGGATTGCTCGAGTGCCAGCTCAGCTGCTGAGATTTCCTCAACTTTGACGAAGGCCTCATGGAACTCCCGTCAACTCTGGTGAGCAATAATTATATTCTCTTTTATTTTCTTCACTCCCTCAGCACCAAACGCTGGTCACCGAAACATCCTTCCGCAGAGGAGAGAGCTTGCTCCCACCCTCTACAAAGTTATTTCTCCAAGGCATGGAACGGCGAGGTTGACCAAATCCAAGGAATTCGATTATACCAGGTGTCACGCATAATGCATGCACGTTCCTCATCGGTAATACTTGTAAGTTATGATAGAGGCATATATGGAGAAAACGCATAGTTCTGAAATAAACACGAGTTTCCTCATCCTATAGAACAGAATGAGGATATTTCCTCTAAATAGATGTGGTTCTGTACAGGAGCATGGCTCGAAGGCTAGAAATCCTCCTAGATTAATCAAAGGATTTTCATGAGCACCTCTTAGACGGATGCACGGATTCTAATTATTGAGGTATCAATCTAAAGCTCATGACCGGAGGTAATAATTATTGGATCAAAATGCGAAAAATTCGTCCCATTTTCATGTAATAAGGCTAATTTTCGGTCAATAAGAAAAGAATAGCATAATAACGAACGGTTCACAGGCTGTGTGCGCACACGTCGCGACCTACGCTGCACCTGAAACTTGGTTGCCAACGGACTGGCTCGAAGCCTGCTTTATGATCTGACCTTCAGAACTCGACGTCTCAAATTCTCTCGCACCCGACAGGGTGCCAGCCTCTTTCCACGCCCAATGCGTGGGTCATATCGGTTTTTTCGAGTAGATCAGCATCCTGGTCGAGCTCAAAATCTTCCCTTATTTTACCGGGACGTTCCGAAATCAGAACGACGGGTCACATTTTAAGGCTAAGAAGCGGAACTCGATGAATATTTGCATTCAGGCGATTGGGGTATGAAACATTGTCGGCAACAGAAGTTGTTGCAATGGTAACGACTGACAATGATCATATGCCATAGCTTGTCGCGTTACCCGTCCCTTGTCGGTTTAAGGCATTGCTTTACGTATGTTCGCAGCATTTAATTGTTGCTTCAATATATATTATTTTAAAAATTTTGGCATTCTAAAAATTCCAGGAGAAAGTGGGGAACTGTCAACTATTCTGCGGCGGGATCTATATAACGTAAAGGAAAAATAGCAGTTCTTGAGTCGCAGTCAGCGGACAAAAGTGCATGACGAAGTACACAAAACACATCTTCACTTTGACTGCCTCCAGAAACAGTGAAACAAACGAAGAAAGAGCAGGAAGTCATGCACAAAATGTTCTGATTCAAGATATTTCAGCCTGTGGGCGCACGGGCTTTTACACTAGTAAAGCATGAAAGTGGTTCCCTCACATCGTCCTGTGAATTCCAATTATCATCGAATTTCTTTCCAATTAAAGAATATATCATACTAGGGAGTTTATTTCCCCGAAGGGCAAACAAACTCGCTATGGTCGCGCCTTCGGCGCTACATTACCTTGCATAGTGATTAATTCATTTATTCTTTGCGAAATGGCAAACACGTATTTAAAGTAAGTCCCCATTGAAATACGTGACATGTGGGGCCGAAAGTATTGATTATTATCAAAATCATTACTTATATGATTTCTAGTGTGGCTAAATTGAAATGTTTTCATGTGTCCCTTCTTGTAAGGTTGGAGAATACATTTTGAAATACTTCCCTCCTATAATCTATGCTAAGAAAACATATATCAAAAGTAGGATTTTTCTTGTACTCAGCCATTAAATAGGTACTCCTGAGGGAAGCTTAAATTTTCTGTCTCTGTTTCGTTGGATCAAAAAAAATTCAGAAAAATGGGACTTAAAAAAAAAGTGACCTAATGGGTTTTAGCGAAAAACATTTTTTTATTCTGAAATATAGACTCAAGGAACTCCATGCCACCCAGTTTCAGCCTGATACGTTTCCTCTTATTGCTGGCGGTAAAAAAATGTATTTGGAAAAGCGACCGACCTAAAAGCTGTGCTCTGAGGAGACGCACAACAAAAGTTGAATTTTTACTTCAATCAACATCACGTCCGTTATGCGTGCGCCTTTTCTATTTCTGCCCGATTCGCTAGGATATGTTAAATTCTTTCAATCGTAACGGCCCCAAGAAATATCCCCATCCAAAATTCCAACATTTTGGAAATTTGACATTTTTCCTGAGCTCGGTGCGTCAGCAGTCACATTCTTGCCAAGTTTCAGTTTTCCATGTGTCTCCGTTTGAATGAAGCAAAGAAAACTATTTGCAAATCTGTTCACCGAAAAGATTTGCCCCTATGGCATGTATCACCAAAGTAGAATTTTTCTGAACTCAGCATGTCAATAGCAACTTATGTCGGTCAGTCAGCTACTCACGATCGTCTATATATATATAATAAAAGTAGAATTTTTTCTTTACTAGACTCTCCATTAGGTACTTCTTTGCCAAGTTTACACTTTCTAGCGCCCTCCGTTTTGCTGGATCAGAAAATTCGGGAAAATACGCCTTTTACAAAATTTGTGCCCTCAGGCGCTTTAACTGAAAAATACCATCTTTATCGAAATCAATCCTCAATGAACTACATGCCCGCAAAGTTTCAATCTTATACATTTGCCATTTCGCTGGTGAAAAATCATGTTTGGAAAAGCCGACCAATCCAAAAGCTATGCCCGGAGGGGATGCACCATAAAGCTGAATACTCCCTTAACTCAATAATATCATGTCACTTCTATGTGTGCCAAGTTTCACCTTTCCATTTCTGTCCAATTCGCCACGACCATTTTTTTTAAACGTCGCCCATCGAAAAAATTCCCCCAGGGGATGCATCGAGACTTAACATTTTTCTTTAACTCCTTGTCTCAGTAGTTAGATTCATGCAAAGTTCCAGCTTTCCATTTTCATCAGTTTAACTGTTGCAAACAAATTTATCTGAAAACATCTCACTTTAAAATTGATGCCACCAGGGGATTTACTTCCAAAGTCTGAATTTTTCTACATGCAGCATCCCAATAAGTAGTTATGAACCAAGTTTCATCTTTCCACACTAGCTCAATACGCCAGGACAAAGAAAACTTAAAAACGTCGGCCCCAAAAATATACCCCCAAATTTTGCATTTTTCCTGAACTCATTGTCTCGGTAGGCACGTCCATGCCAGGCTTCAACTTTCCCTGTCTCTCCGTTTTATTCCAGCAAAAATAATATTATGGAGGTGTGAATGTGTAACGGTACATGGAAGGCAAGAGAAGCCAAAAAAAAGCCGTGGAATGGCCGGGAATTGAACCCGGGCCTCCTGATTACCAGGAAGGTGTGCTACCGCTACATCATGGAAACCTGTCGTTCGATGCCGTTCTCATCCGTCGCAATATATATTTTAAGGAAAACTTCTCTCCCCAAAATGTGTACCCCCAGGGCATGTACCTCCAAAGTCGGATTTTTTCTAAACTCTGCACCCCAAAAGGTACATGTGTTCCAAGTTTCAGTTCTCTAACCTTTCTAGAACATGGTTAGAATTAACTTCAGTCAGTCACGATCGTCTATATATATTAGATGGTGTCTTCCACTTTAACCTCATGTCTGATGAGTAAATACCTTCTTGTTTTCATTACTTGAAGACGTCCTAGTTCATTAGAAAATCAGTTGAACATTTTGATTTGGTGGGATTTCGGCCTAAAGTGAAAACTGCAATAATTATCAAGTCACTCAGTTATTCAGCACAACTCTTTCCTGGTATAGAAAAAGATTTTTTTTATATATCGGAAGTATATCAGAAGTTCGACATATTAGGAATTGCTTCTACCCATGAAAAAAAAAAAGAAATTATTCGTGTTAGGGGTTGTAAGAGGAAGATTTGTCCCCACATCACACTCCAATTTAGAGTTAACCAAGGGAAAATCGTAATCGCGAGGGAAAATGTCGTTCGAAATATCCAGAAATTCCAGGTAAGCGATATCGAACTGAAAGAAAATTTTTTAACATGGTGTCTTATGGGATTCGGCCGGGACGAAGGATTGAATTTCCAAATAGCGGAATTTCAATTTATAAAAATTCGAGTTGACTAGATTTATTGTACTTTTCCTTGCCACTTTTGGGTTACGGCACCCATGAAATGAAGATTTTGAATGTGAACAAGAGCTTGGATCATCTGAGAGTAGTTCACCGAACGACAGGAAGGAGAAGCAGTCATTCCCTTCATTTTTTCAGAATCGGATGAGGAAACACAGTCGGAATGACCTTTCTCATTCGAGATCCAAACTGTTTCCCGGATCATCATCATGTCACATAGATTTAACCCTGTGGGAAATGCTAGGTTAAATCTAAGTGCTCTACCTGTCGGAAGCCAAAGATCTAGGGAGCTTCTTCACATTCTCAATATTCAAAGACTCGTTTGATCATGATGATTATTCGGAAAATATTCAAAACAAGCTATACCGAGTAAATAAAGAAAACGCCCGTTTGCTAAAAGATGTGATATTAAATTTCGATTCCTTAACCAGAACATTTCCGAAGTGGGAGAAGATCAAGCCGGAAAGGAAAAGATATGGGCTTTCCTAAGGAATTCAAAAAAGAATACAGACGTCTATGGAAATTCAGGCTTCATGTGCACAAGGTCCCGAATTTATACAGCGAAGATTCAAAATAAAAGTAATAATAATAATAAAACATTTTAAATTCCCAATAATTTGGGAACTATTAACCTATCCGAAAATGGAATAACATTCACCCTAATCATGATCTTACTCCTTTCAGGACTTTTCAAATGGAAGACAATACGGAAGTAGAGGAACTTCCCGAAGGATTGTTCAAGCATATTTCCTTCCAGAGGATAGTTATTAACAACACTGCATTGAAGAAGGTCCAACCATCAGCCATACTCCCGTTGAAACACTTGCATGTGGAACTCGGCATTCAACATAGTCTGCTGGAGAACTTTCCTTTCTATATTCTTAATCAATTACAACGTCTGGAAAGTCTCTGGCTCTACAATAATTCCCTGACCTCTATACCAGCCTTCAAAAGCGACAGCCTAGAAATACTTCGTCTTGATAACAATAAGATCACGCGTGTGGAGTTCGATGGATGGGCGACCCCCAATTTGAAAAAACTCTACCTCTTCAACAATTTGTTGACTTCTTTCCCGGCTTTCAATAGCAACAGTATAGAACTAATCTGGCTCTACAACAATTTGTTGACTTCTGTACCAGCCTTCAAAAGCGAAACCCTAGAAATACTTCGCCTTGACCAGAATAAGATCACGAGTGTTGAGTTCGACGGATGGGCGACTCCCAAATTGGTGCGGCTCGATCTCGACGACAATTTGCTGACCTATGTCCCGGCTTTCAAAAGCGAGAGCCTAGAAATACTCTATCTCAATGACAATGAGATTGAGAGTGTTGACTTCGACGGATGGGCAACTCCCAAATTGATACGGCTCGATCTCTACAAGAATTTGCTGACCTATGTCCCGGCTTTCAAAAGCGAGAGCCTAGAAATACTCTATCTCAATGACAATGAGATCGAGAGTGTGGAGTTCGACAGATGGACCACTCCCAAGTTGAGAGAACTCTATCTTTACAACAATTTGTTAACCTTTGTCCCAGCATTCAAGAGCGAAAGCCTAGAAATACTTCGCCTTGACAACAATAAGATCACAAGTGTTCAGTTCGATGGATGGGCGACTCCCAATTTGAAAAAACTCTATCTCTACAACAATTTGTTGACCTTTGTCCCAGCATTCAAGAGCGAAAGCCTAGAAATACTTCGCCTTGACAACAATAACATCACGAGTGTTGACTTCGACGGATGGGCGACTCCCAAATTGATGCAGGTCGATCTCGACAACAATTTGTTGACCTATGTCCCGGCTTTCAAAAGCGAGAGCCTAGAAATACTCTATCTCAATGGCAATGAGATCGAGAGTGTGGAGTTCGACGGATGGGCCACTCCCAAATTGAGGGAACTCCATCTCTACGACAATTTTTTGAACTCTTTCCCGGCCTTCAAGAGCGAAAACCTAGAAATACTTCGCCTTGACAACAATAAGATCACGAATGTGGAGGTCGACGGATGGGCGACTCCCAGTTTGAGGGAGCTCAATATTGGTGAGTATTTGCTCTTTCATTATCTTGTTTAATCAATGGTAACGCTTGTATCATTGAAGGCTCTGTTCATAATAGAAAAAAGCATCATAGGGAAGAAATTTATGCAAGTATTGAATAACATCTAAACACTGTTCGTTGCCGAATGCACTTTCATGACGAAAGCCTCCACACCTTCACTTGATCAGAATAGCTAATAACACCTTTCCATAAAATAGAGAAACCCATTTTTTTTCTTTCCTTTAACCCTCATCTGTTTTGCTTTTCGTGGGCAATATTTCGCTGTCGCGCGTGCTGGAGAAAAAAATTGTATCATATTCTATGTTACGGCATTTCTCTGATAAGTGATTTGCATCAATGTGAAGCGCTATAAACCAGAATGTTCTCAAGTAATATTTCGCCAACATAAATTGAAATGCAAACGAGGGAGGAGTTGTTTTCTCTGCTAGAGATTAATGGAAAAGCCATGAGCCGACTTTTACCATTTACTGATTGACTATGGTGATAGAGGGACTGGTATTTTGCACATTAAAAAAAGGCAGTATCTCTGCCCATCAATATAGAATCGAAAGCAATAAAATACAAAATTAATTTTGGCTGAATGAATAGGACTGTTTTAAAATTGTTTTGAATAGGATTGTTTTAAAATTGTTTTGAATAGGATTGTTTTAAAATTGTTTTTAAATTACTTGTATCATCACCAAAGTGGACAGCCCGAACCTCCAGTCAACCGTCCCACTTTCGGAACTATCCATTTGATGATTGAATGATTTGCGAAAGGTGAATCTTTGACTGAAGCTTCCTTCAAAACACAACATTGGCTTCCATTATTTCTATGAACCGTTCCTAAAATTACCATTTAGAATCTCTTCAGCAAATTTATGAACGACGCCGCACAAGAGATTAGGAGAGGTGCGTGACTCCATTAGGTAGAATCAATCGTGGACTGGCATTCAGCTCCACATTTTGTTCCAGCAACTCTAAAAAAAAATGTTGATTCCCTCTCGTCGATCCTTCATTTTATGAGATGCACAGTTGAAACTCAGGGAACGCCTCACTGTATTTTCTTGTCTGGCCTATGCCAAATGTCTTGCTCTTCTGGTGTCCAATAAAAATTATATCCGGCATCATGCCGTCCGACATTTATGTTCGATTTTATAGGCGCAAACTGGAAAAGGGTTAAGGTAATGAGGTATTTCTATTTTTCTCGGAACGTTTTGTATTGCTGTATTCCTGTAAGGAATAGGTAGATGTTCTAGCTCCAAAGATGTAATGAATTCAAATCGGAATGAATTGGTTGCATTTTATGGAATTAATGAGGTATGCCACAAGACGTTTCCTCCGACATTCTCTTCCCCCACTTGTGTAGTTGGAACGAAGAATAGACAATAGAATCTCCTCCATGTTATATTAATGCTAATTAATTAGTTGGAAAAGTGGAGGTCTAAAAAAAAAATTGAAAGGGAAGTGGAGCGGAGTCTCAATACTGCAAAAAATACAGGGTGGGCCAAAAAATTCCGCCCAATTTTTAATTGCACATAGCTCAGGAACTATTGAAGCCACAGGCTCGAAAGAAAGCAGCAAACTAAAGCTTGTTCCTTCCTCTGTAAAATAGTCTATAGGTTCATGGTAATACTTGCATGGCATGGCCGCCATGACCATTTGAATCAACCATTACCGAAAAAAAGTTGCAAGGTGTTGCTACTGCTACAGGCGCCTTTGTTTCTGTCCTGCTGTGAAGAGGGGAAGACACAGTTCAATGGCTGGCTACTTGTTCACCCTCCCTACTCATCTCTTCTTAATACCGCATTATTTTTATGCTGAAACGTGCATGAACAGCCGACCAGCACTCCAAGATTTCAGCAGAGCAGCTTAGCTCACTTCGCATTGCGATCCTGCAGCAACGATGTTTGCTCTCTCTTCCACGAGAAATTGCCGTGTGCATGCTTCATCTGAGCGTTAGTTTGCACTTTTTAATTTTTTTAATTTTCTTCCTCAGGGCCAAAAAGTGTCAAGTGTCCACCGCGGGTTATCAGAAAGTGATAAGCATCTCATCTGTGCACTTCGTAAGGAAAGGAAACATTCCTTGAACCAAATTCTGAAGGAGTTTCCTGATCGGCAGTGGAAGAAATCGACTTTTCGAGACTTCCTGATAAAGGTCCAAGAAACAGGAAGCATTGAGCGTCGCCCTGGATCAGATCGTCCAAGAACTGTTCGAACAGCAGAAACCATCGAAAGCGTCGAAGAACTGATTCTGAGTCAAGAAGGAGAGCCTGGAACAAGCAAAAGTGTCCGCGAAGTGTCAAAGCAGACTGGGATAAAGCGTTCGTCTGTTCGGCGGATAGTGAAGGATGACCTGAAACTGAAGGTTTTTAAGCGGATTTCTGTCCATGCGCTCTCATCGCCAGTGAAGCAGAAACGCCATGAACGATGCAACAAACTATTGAGCAGGTTCCGTAGCAACAAAGCTGTGCAGAAAATCTGGATTTCCGACGAGAAGAGTTTCACCGTTGAAACTCCAAGGAACACGCAGAATGACCGAGTTCGTGCTACAAGGAGAAAAAAGGATGTTGATCCAGCCCGACTTTTGTGTGAACAGAAGAAATTTTCCCAGTCGGTCATGGTTTCACTTGCGGCCTCTTCGTCAGGGAAAACTTTTATCATTTTCATTGCTCACGGGGTTAAAATCAATGCCAAGAGCTACTGCGATGAGGTTTTGACTCCCATGTTGGCTGAAATCAAGGAGAAGTGCCCAACATTTGTCTTCCAGCAAGATGGAGCTCCAGCGCACACTGCCAAGGAGACCATGGCCTTTCCCAAGAGGAACTGCCCTGCCTTCATTGAGCCTGAGAACTGGCCACCATGCAGCCTAAAATTGAAACCGGTCGATTGCTTTATCTGGTCTACTTTGGAACAGAAAGTTTATTGAGGCAAAAAAATTCGCGACGTATAACACCTGAAAGAGAGGATTTGTGCAGCCTGGGAGGAGCTTCGCCAGTCTTGGATTTCAAAAGCCATTTCCAAATGGCGCAAGCGATTGAGTGCCGTAGTGGGTGAAAATGGTGGCCACATTGAGCACTTTATCAAAAATTAAAATTTGAGGTCAGTTCCTACTGCAGAAAAATGCATTTTTGTTTTTTCCTGAATTTACACCTTTTTTCAGTCATGGGTGATTCAAATGGCCATGGCGTCCATGCCATGGCACGTATTACCTATAGACTATTTTAAAGAGGAAGGAACAAGCTTTAATTTGCTGTTTTTTCGAGCCTGTGGCTTCAATAATTTTGAGTTATGTGCAATTAAAAATTGAAGCGGAATTTTTGGCCCACCCTGTATATACGAGCGATATTTTGAAGAGCACGAGAATGTGTATTCGCTGGAATGCCACTGATTCAATGAATATCCTCCACAATCACTATCGAGAATGAAGAAGACGTCACTTTTCAATTTAAGTGTGATATGCAAAGCTTTAACGACACTGCTCGCAAATTTTATTTCAATTTCATGAGCCACAAGTGTAGCTGGTCGTGCAACTGTTCCTCATGTCACTAATATTGTTTCGTTTTCATGCAGCAAAAAACCCTCTGCTGAAGTTCCCTTCTGCAGCAATCAAGGGCATGAAGAATCTCGAGAAATTCTATTATTCAGAGTCCAATGTGGGTCCAACCGTTTCAAGTGGTTTCCTGGAATTTCAGAGCAAGGCCTTGAAACTGGTAACACTCTGGAGCAACAACATCTCCATACTGGATAAAGACGCCATCACAGGTATGATTCCTCGTTAGATCATATCATGGAGAATACATGCATTATCATCTTAAATACTGGCTAGGACATTTGATTTTGAGGTGTTAGTTTCGACGCGTGCAATGGAAAATCTCCTGACAAACTCGGACTGAGATAAGACTGACGAATTACTGTAGAACCTAATTTAAATACCCGTAAGCGATGTTTCCGCATTGATATCTTCAGATTCCCGAGAGGTGGCATACTTTGTTACAGACGGCCTTGAGTTCATTGCCTCTACCTTACATGATAATTTTTGCATCGAAGTAGATAGCCATTGTGATTTTTGATACTAATTTGGATCTTTCCTATCGACATCTTCTTCGATACATGGCCCTCACCAAATCCTAATTCCCGAATAAATGTGTTTTTCAGGGCTTCACTTTTGACTCAAAGTAATGAAGGAAAACCCTAACTCTGCAGTTATAAAGACATTGTTGTCTCTCGAATCATTCAGATAGGCAATTGGTACTGGTAGTCGACCTCAAATACTAAAAGGAGTTATTGGCTGCATTTGAACCTTCTCTTGCTGAATATTTGCCAAAGTGTTGTAACATATCCTGTAGAGTCGGCTTAAGTACGAGTAAAATATGAAAGTTGGCTCTCCAAAATCGGAAGAAATTTTCTATTTTGTAAGCCTGTCCGTGTCACTAATCAACAGATCTCATTTTTATAACAAGTCAGTGTACCTATTTTCTGACAGGCCACCTTATCATTATAATGCGCATGAGTTATTCATTGATGAGGCAAGATAATAGGTGAAATGAAATAAGTTCCACGGGGCAAGCCCATTCCAGCAGTGGGCCTCCTGTCATTTAAGAAGACCCTCATTTGTCACCTACTTGAGCAAAATACCATCACTTTCCGGACTTCGACCATCATAAATCTCATTTCTAAGTTAGATTTGGCAAATATACTCATGGTGTGCATTAAATGAAGATGAAGAATTGTGCGTGGCTCGACCCATCTGTAACAAAGGCTAGTAGAGAACTGAGAGTACTTCTTGGGGACACGACGCCGCGGCGAAGACTTGGGACTTACACGCATGCGCATTATGGTCCAAAGAGCTCTTGCGCACCGATGTACCCCTGTGGGCAAATTTGAAATCCTAAAATCGCGATAAAAATGGCAATTTTGGAGCAAATACACCACAAAACGAGCTCAGCCTGTATCTTCCTCATTTGAACGAACTTGCCAATTTCGGCATTGTGGAGGCTAATACTTGCTTAGTTATCGACGGACAACCAAACTGTGAAACACGGACAGGACCATATCTGATCTCTTACCTTTCAGGGATGGAAGGCCATTGAAAGGACATCCCGCCTACAGAAACGACCATTTAAACGCTTTATGCTCTTGTGCTGTCTTAACTTGTTTGGCAAGTCCAATCCTGAATTGGGCCTTCCCTTAGTTCTTAAGGAACTAAGGGAAGATGATAATCGACCGCCTAGAATCAAATTCTGGCTTATAATTATGGTAGAGGACCCCAAGGGAGGGTCTTGGAGCCACTTTTTGGCACTCTCGGGTCAAGCACCTGACCGTGGCGAATGGTCAAAGGTCACGATTTGCATGCCTCTCTTCGAAAATCTGTATCTCCCCAACCCTTGGTCGCAGAAACGTCAAAGTTGCGCCATTCTCCTTGCCACAGAACATATTAAATGGTGCGCCCTAAAACGTGCGCATCTCTCTGCTTCCCGAGACGCCGTGGCGCCATTTGTGAAAATTCGCGTTTCGCGAATTCGCTTCTTCCCTCGCTCATTCTCCGAAGAAACATTGCATCGTGAAAAGCATGCTCCAGTTTTTAAAGACCGTCCCCATTCGTCTTCGTGCCAAAGGGCGCGATGATTCAACGAACCGTTTTCCTGGAAGTTCGAAGATATACCTCAAAATCTCCCTATTTTTGCAAAGTGCCTCACATCCATGGTCATTTCTAGAGAACGAGATAGAAATTCAACATTTCAACTAAAAGAATTGTGGAGAAGCCTCTTGAGCAGCTTCAGGTCCATTTTCAGACAAATCTGTTCACCCCCCTCAGATCCTTAGGGATTTTACTGAACCTATGTTTGAAATTT